TATATGTAACCCAGGCTATATATATATATATATATATGGGAAAAGAAAGTATCAGTTTATTTTCTTCATTTTATGTATTCATATTTTTTCACCTAAGGTTTCGCAGATCACATTCTCTTCACTTCAGGCCCAATACCAACACTCGCTCTTGAAGAGCACATTGACCTATTGAAAGGTTGTTGCTAACATCCGTGTAAATCAATAGAAATGGGCCTTGTCTCCTCACTCCAGAGAAAAGCCCATCCTCTGTGAAAAGAATATGATGTTTAAAACACAATTTTAAAGTCATGATCCTTTTAAATAATACAATGTGGGTAAGCAGCAAAGCTAAAACCTTTTTTGAGTAAATTAAATATGATTTCTTTATTTTTTTTGTCCATTTGAATCTGCATCAGATTTTTTTCTGCAACAATAATGGAATGAATTTAACTCCATACATGGTCCTTAAATTCTGGAATGATCCTTAAAGTCAATCAATGATGAACAATTAATGGTAGTCAAATTTCAAACCTAAATGTTAAAAAGAATAATTGGCAAGATTTGATGTTCACAGATGCAATTGTCTGAGATAAAGTTGTTTTGGGAATAAAACGGAAAACAAAACAACCTGAATATAAAGGTATAAACATACAGTACCGCTAAATATTTTATTTGTAAATACAGTCAAAGGGCGTTTTCCATTGTAATGTTTACTGAATGCAAATGCAGGTCACACTTTACAGATTTTCATTTGCACTAGAATGTGAAACAAGATGGTGCCCTCATCACATAAAAACCTTATCATAATCACAAAGATTTGTATTTTTAATGTGAAGGAATGTAAAATCTTTCAAGATGTAATGAATGCAAAATGATCAGCAGAAAACAGAGCGCTGGTTAGGATGATGAATACGTTTCAATCTGAAAAAACTCACATGAAGAGAAAAGACATATTAGAAGAAATTTATTGATACAATTACTTTGTCTTTGGTGCTCAGACCTCGGCGAGAACATGGCGCTGAATTTTGATGGATATGCATGAACAGGAGTGAAGAACAGGGCTGGTNTCTTTTTTGATACTAGCCAGGTTAGCATAAGCTGGTTAATTTCGATTTTTTTAGGAAATTTACTGCAACTATGTCTGGCTTAGTGTCCACTGTTGTTTTCGTCAATGTTGACAATGAAATTATTTCGTTGACACTCCTTTTTTCATGATGATAAAGAAACCTGAAGAGCTAAACATGGATCTTTGATGACAAAAACATGACGACTCATGGATGTGAGTTCTCATCGATGAGAAACGTTAAACGTAAAAACGTTAGCGGGTTGTCGGTCAGACGTTTAAATGCATCATCATGTAAACTGTTAGAAAAGCTAAGCAGTATCAGCCTTGCTGCTACGGCCTGTTTGGTCACACCGCCCACCTTCCATCTGCCATGAGCAGATGGAAGGGATGAAAGTAATCCAGAATGTTCTGGTACTGCGCAATCAACTCTGACAAACTTTGCTCTTCCAGCTCTGCTTGTGCAGAAATGTGTCTTTTTGCGTGCTTAGCTCAGAGTCTGCATTTATGCTCCACACCGATGGTTCGGTCTAAGCAGTATGACTCTTCCTTCTCTCGCTACTCAATAAGCTATATGTGGCTGATCATCCTCTGCCTAGCGTCAAAAAAATCCTAACTATCAAGATTTTATTTCTTCCAACTCACAAGAGTTGATGCTAAACCTTCTTTAATTTCTATTATAATTGTATTATCCAAAGCAAATATTGCATTGCATACTGATGAAGATTTTATTGATCTGTGTGTAATGCATATTTCATAGTAGATCAGGAAGTGTTTACTTTGGGATGGAAACCTTGTACGTCTAAAACCATTCCTTTATTGTAAATTTTGTTAGCTTGTTTGTCTGCTATTTTGACCAATATGATGTGTTAGATCTGCTATTTTCACAGTTTTTGTGAGACTATGTTGTATAAAGTAGAGCATTTATTTATAAAAAGTTTTGTTTGAATTCTATAAATCAAAGTTTTATGCCCAACAGCCATGATGAACTGCATGGCAGCAAATATGCCCAGCTATTGTAGCATCTAGGATAGAGCTGTCACTCTGGTCAATAATCTGGTTGTTATTTGAAATTTTAAAGATGAACCTTTTTTGCAACATGAAGCTGACTAAAATTAGACCAAACCTCTTTTAAGTTTTAGTCGAGTAAAAGCGACTAGAACTATAACATATCCTAATGACTTAGATGTTACTAAAAC